CCTCGTTTGATCTTACATTCAAGGGAACCTAATGTTGGAGAGCTGCTCCTTAAAGCCTCCTAGGCAGCTGACCTCTGCAGGGAACGTGAAAGATTTGTTCCACCAGCGTATAAAAACTGCTCTGGGATCCTTGGAAGATCCTTCCCTTGATGATTTGAGTGCAAATGCTCAAACACACGCTCCTAGACACTCAAAGATCGGGTAAAGAAGTCACCATACGGATGGGGAAGCAAAACATTCTCACGCCTTCAGGGAATTCAAAACTTGGGATCTAATTTTCCTTGCAAGAAAACGCCTTTTTTTTTTATTTTAAACACACACTTCATATCGCCACGCTAAACCACCAACAGCAGCCAATGCTGACGAGCTTTGAGAGGTTATTTTCTAGAGGGCTGTTCAGTTTTCTAGTTCTCAAAACATTTTGGCTTCGTTTTTCAGACTCCCTTCCTACGTTTCCTGCACGACTTGACCAGCTGCTTCGCCGAGGCCTGACTCATCGTGCCCTCGTAAAATGAAGGCAGTTACCACGATGGCTTGGTAATAACCACCGGTATTGCTCGGTTTTACATGCTAAGACCCTCCTTTTAGTATTATGAGCAGTGATGGAGGAAAGATGAAGAGCTTCCAAAGAGGTTAGAAGAACAAGAAGGAGACTTCAAGGTCATCCCACGAAGGGGGTGCTCTGCAGAGAGAAGATGGAATGGGAAAAACACTGAGAAATTAATAAACTGCTAATTGCAGCAACTTTTTTCTTGCATGGAAGGCAAAGCACGTTCCCAAGACTTAGCCCTTGCTATTAGGACTTGTTCTGTGTCCTACCTACCTCTGGAAGCAGCAAAATAATTAAAAAAAATCAGTAAACCTACACATAACAAGCATAATTCAGCATCCGAGAGCAGCATCGCTCAGGAAGTTACGTCGTGCTCGCTTTTAAAGATAAAGGTCTGCCCTCCGAAAACCGGCACCGAATTAAACTAATCCTGCTGTCACTGGAAACTCTCCGCCGTTTATCTTCCTGTCAAACCACAAAACAAAACTTCAAAGGGATGTCTGTTTGCCCCACGGGTACACCTAGGCTGGAAAAGCTTTTGTAGTTCAACGTCAGAGCCTGTTAGAACCCACTGAGAGCTGCGTCGAACTACTCGGCTTTTTTAATCTCAATTTAAAAAAAATAATAATAAAAAAAAAGAAGGGCAGCTCGTTTGCTTTTTTCCCACGAAGAACAAACGCACCAAAACGGAATATTAACTGGCTGGAGCTGTGAAAGAAGTCGTTTCATGCCAGGTTTAAGAAACATCTTTCAGCAGGTAAACGCCCGAGGGGGTTACACACGCTAAGGAGACAGCGCCAGCAGAAAGAAAGGGGTGATAAAGCAGAAGCTGAGAAACCCTCGTTCAAAATTCCCACTTTTGCAGGGCTCTGGAAGCAACTCTGAGTATTTAACAGGACAGCAGCACCCCCTACCTCACGGCACACTGAATAAATAATTCTAAAAAATCGTGGTGCTGATTTCAATTCGGTACTAGGACCTGGAGAAGTGAGGAGAGTCGAAGTGAGCTCGATTTAAAAGGAAAAAAAAAAAACCTGATGCGGAGCCTTCAAGGCAATATCCTGTCTGCAGGCACAGTGAGAGCACGGGCAGGATGTCATAAATGACACAGAGGTGAGCTGCTCAGAGAGAGGATCCTCGTCCTGAGGATGAAGGAGCAAAATTATCCTTCTAGCTCGCCTCTGCTGATAGCTGATGGGTCGCTATCACACGGACAAGATGGGCAGGAGGAGAACCTTCTTCCTCCCTCCTTCCAACTAGATGGAAGCCTAACGGGAGCATTTATTCTGAGCAAGCGTGCTGTTTGCATTTGCCCTACATTCAGCGCCGCGATTTTTAATGCAGCATCGCCCAGATCAAATAAGTTTGCAGGGCTAAATATAGAAGCTCCCCCTCGCGCTCAGCTCCAGCGGAATTAGGTTTTTGCTGCCTCGCCGTCAGCAGGGCGAGGATTCCCCAAGCCAGCTCGGTCAGCCGTGCGAGCCTCCTGGGGAGAAACACACAGAAATTCACCTGGCACACACAGAACTTTACCCAGCACACACAGAAATTCACCTGGCACACACAGAAATTCACCCAGCACACACAGAAATCTGACAGTCTGCGTACAATGAAGCAACTGGACGTTTGCTCAGATCACGCCGCCGCCCTTCAAACGCAACGTGGATTTCCACCGCTTCCTATGACTGCCAAAAAAGTGGAATATTAAACTTCAAGAGGCCGTGCCAAGTGCTGGCTGCCCAGGCTTTTAGGGAATATTGGCCTCTCCGAGGCACGCCAAGCAAAGCCCGCTTTGTACCCACCTACGTATTTCAGCATCGCCGTGTTTATTAACATCCCCTTATTATTATTATTTTTTAAAAGGGGTGACACAGCTCTTCTGAACGCATTTGGCCTGCTCTGCTTTTGCTGGATCAAAACAGATTTCCATTTGTTTTAAACACAGCGCTGCTGAAATCTGCCTCAAAGCCATAAACAGAAAAGAAAAAAAAGAGATAAATTTCCTATGCCAGTCCCGCCTGCAGCCACAAAAAACATTTTTTTTATTTGTTTCGCTTTGGTTGAGCAGCAGTAGGCCCGCTGCTGAACAGAAGTTATTTCTCCAGACATAAATGACTACTTCTTCTTCCAAACCTGTAATCTGTAGCGAAATCAACAAACTCTGAGCTATGAGCTGCCTGGTGAGTTTTTAGTTTCAATTTTGCGGTTGTTTGGCAGAAGATCTGCATCACTGCTAACCATGCTGGAAGGCGTCCTGAAATGGGAGGCATTTATTCCTCCCGCTTTCCCACATGAAAAAAAAAAAAAAAAGGACAGAATTCCGGAGTCGGCGATGAGCAGATTACAGCCCTGCATCTTAAACCGGAGTGTGCTAAGGAGCTCCTCCTCAGCAGGATTTTCGGCAGCAGCAGAGTCTGAAGGCTGGGATCATCACAGAAGGGGCTAACCCTAAAAGCCACGGTTTGATCTCGTGCGGTGCTTGTAAGGTATTTCCACCACACCCCTCCTGGAATAGCTTTTTGATGATAATCAAGGTCGCTCAGCCTCAAGGTTGAACGCGAACAGGGGGGGCAAAAACCGTCCTAGCAGAACCGCCTGCAAGCGTTTCAGTCCGGCCGAGCAACTGATTCACCTCTCCCGAACGCGTGGCAGCTTCAAGCACCATAAAGCAGCCCCGAAACAAGCCAGTTTCGAAATGCAAATCAGGTAGATTGCAACATGCATTAGCCTTGCAAGAGCTGTTCTTAATTACTGCCATTATTTAGAGCATCGCCGTAAATGAAGCTTCGTCCAATCCCTTTTTATTGGGCCTTCTTTTTTTTTTTCCTCTAGCCTTAAGAAGTCATAAACCCATAAACCTCAGGTTTTTAGTCAGCTAACTAGTTCTAAGCAGCTAATATTAGTGCCTTAATGAACTTAATGAGGTTCCATTATCATTCTTCGCGAAGCAAGAGCTAAAACCTGGAGCTTGCTAGGACGTACTGCGTCCTCCCCGTATTTTGGTCAAGAATTTGGGATGTATAAAACTCTGACATCCCTGCGCTGTAGCGGGATGGACGCAGGACTAGGGTTAAGTGTTTTTCCAACAGTCCATTTTGAGGAAATAACTGAAGTTACGTGGGCTTTCTACATTAAATGTGCTGTGACAGAGTTAGCAGCGAGTGCCTAGCCTGAGAAAAGCCAAAAAGCCTGGCGTTTAGCTCTGGAAAAAGAAGCCCTACGCAGCAAGTTGAGGTCAACGGGCTGCAGGAAGCCAGGAGCCCTCCAGAAAACGGGATTGACGCGGCAGGACTCGAGTTCAACCTCCGAGCCAGGCTTCCCGAAGGCAGGCCAAGCAGATGCGGAGAGGCAGGCAGCGAGGCCAGGAGACAGAGGCACAGCAAGACGGCAGAATCGGCTTTGAGAAGTCGTCGAGGAGAAGCGCCATCCCTCCTCTGCACGCAGGGCCACCGATGTCAGAGATTTCACGTTGTTTCGCAGCGACGGGTCAAGCGATGCCACCCCGGGGCGCTGGCAGGAGCAAGGCTGCCCGCTCGCTCCTCCAGCTGGCCGGAGGAAGGCTCGAGTCCCTCGGCTGCAACAAAAGGAGGCTGCTGAGGCTGCTCGCAAAGCAGCACAGCCTTCACCAGAGGTTTCAGGTGGGGCCCGTCAGATGCTCGCCGAGCTATAAATAGAGGAGCTGCGGCCAGCAGGCCGGCCTGTGCACTGGGTGGTTTCCTCTGCAGCGGGCTGGACCTACTCGAGCCCGGCCTAAGAGCACGTTTGGAGGCTCGATCCTTTTATCAGCCTGGAGAAAAGAGTTATTCCCAGAACATTTCTAAAAGCAGGAGGGAGGGGGGGGAGAAACGGAGGGTGCCGGAGCTTTTCTCGCTTCTCCGACAAGGCGTGCTGGCAGCGGGAAGGCTGGCAGCCCTCGCTTGTGTCGAACTTTTATTAAAATTACAGCTCCTGCTCCCCGAGGCGCTGAGGGAGGCTCCCCCCCACCTCACCTCACCTCAGGGCAGCTCCGGCTCTGAGGGGCCGCTCCTGTCACTGAGGGGACAGCGGGCCGGGGGGGTGCCCACAACCCCCCAAAACCCCCGGGGGCGTCCCAAAAACACCCAGGGGTGCCCCAAAAACCCCGGAGGTACCCCAAAAACCCCGGGGGTGGCTGCTTTGAGGGGAACCCCGCCGCTCCGAGCCCGGTCAGGGGCTGCCCCCCCCCGGGTCCCGCTCCCTGAGGGGCTTCTCCCCGGCAGGTGGCGGGGCCGGGGGGGGGCTCCGCTTGCTCTCGGCTCCTACCTGAAGTAGTAGACATCGCTCTTGCCGGCGCTGAGGCCCGATTTGCGGATCACCTCCTCCTTCTTCCAGCCGGGGGGCAGCGCAGGGCAGTCCATCCTGCCCTGCCGCTCCATGCACCGGCGCCGCGGCCCCGACCCCGGCCGAGAGGGGACGGGGCTGGGCGGGCGCTCGGAGACCGAAGCCGGCAGAGGAACCGGCGACGAGGAGGGGGAAAGGGGAACCGGGGGGGGACCGGGGAGGCACCGGGGACCCCCCTGGCGATGGCGGCGGCGGCTGCTGGGCGCCAGGAGCGCGGTCGCTGCGCGCGCAGCCGGCGGGGCGCTCGCCCGGCGCCCGCTTCCGCGGCCGAGGCCCCGCGGGCGGTGGGAGCGGCCCCGCGGGCGGGGCGCGGCCTCGGAGCCCCGCTCCCGGAGCCGCCCTCACTCGGGCAGAGCCGGGAGAGAGCCGGGAGCCGAGCTCGAGCCGCTGTGGGCGCTGTTAGGGCCGCGTTTCGCCCCGCAGCGGCTCCTCAGCGCGCTGTTGAGCCCCGTGCTAGGGCCTGCGTGGAGCCGCCGGGCCATGGCGCAGCCCCGGGGCGGGCAGGATGAGGAGGAAGAGGAGGAGGAGGAGGAGGAAGAGGAGGAGGAGGAAGGGTGGTGGGGGCCGCAGCCGGGCCCTGAGGCCGCTCCGCCCGCCCCGAGTGAGCGCGGGCTCGGGGCGGGGGGTGAGGGGGCTGCTGTGAGGCGGCATGAGGCGCTAGCGTGGCCTCAGCGACTACTGACTGATTAATTGATTAATTGGTTGACTAATTGACTGATTGATTGACTAAATGGCTGACTGATTGATTAATTGACTATCTGATTGATTAATGGGTTGATGGGCCGACTGACAGACCCATTAACCTGGCAGCTCTGGGCTTGCTGCCTGGCAGGTGGAGATCTTGCCTTCCCCCCGGCGAGGTTTCAGTGTCCCAGTCCCACAAGCTTCTCAGGAACGACTCAGTTTGCCTCAAATTTGAGCTGAAATGGTGTGAAATTGGCAAAAGTTCACTCCACGTTTAACCTGAAGTGGTGTGAAACCGGTGAAGGGTTCACTCAGCAAGAGGTGGAGGTCATTGCTGCTGTGCCTGTTAGAGCTGAGTTAAAGGCAGGTGACTTGACAGAAATATACCAAAAAAACTTAAGTATTCCACTGGGAACAGGTACTGCAGCACCTAAACAATATTCTAATATGGCCCAGTGAAAAAGAAATCCAAGTGGCCACCTGAAAACGGGAAGATGCCAAGCAGTAAGCTGAGCTGCTGTGGGTGACTTACCCTCCTTACTGATCCTAGAATTAACACGGTGCTAAAATGAATATAAATCTTATTGGTTTTATATTCTCGTAATATGTTTGGTAGTATAAACTGACTTAAAAACAAACCTTTCATTGCGTTGAAGGCGGTTAGTAATGTTTAATCTTTTTGTTTGCTTTCCTTGCAGCAGGCCACAGCAAGCCGGTGCCAGCCAGAAACGCAGCGGGCAGAGTAATCGTGCACGTGGACTTGGACTGCTTTTATGCCCAAGTAGAAATGGTCCGTAATCCCGAGCTAAGAGACAAGCCTCTAGGTAGGAGTTGCTTTGCTGCTGATTAATCTGGGGAATGTCTGGTTCAGGCCGGAGAAACCGAGGAGGTAGGGCTGCACGGTGACACGCAGGCAGTCACCCGGCAGCTGTAACCACATCCGCAGTGAGCAAGGTGCAGGCTCGGCTCTGCGCAGCTGGGTGACTACAGGATTCATAAATCCTCCGGAGCACAAGCGTGGGCACTCGCCAACACGTCCCAACAGTTCTGGGGATTGAGGCTGGTTCGTAACGCATGTGGGCACGGAGAGGGCAGAGCTCCATGGGCGAGCCGTTTGACACAGTCATGCTCAAAGCACGCTTTATTCTATCCAGAAACAGAGCCTGAATGCAAGGCAGTCAGTAATGGCTGCAATCTGTGGAGGATGTACATCTGAAATTAACTAACGCATAAAGGTCACTTTCATGGGTAAAACTGCCTGAAAAGGGTCAAGGGTAAGAGCAAAATGGGAGGTTTTAAAATGTTCTTCCAGCTGCTGATCTAAACCAACAAATCTGTCTTTCTTGTAGTCTTGTGAAGTTAAGACTTTGGGGATTATTTGTTCTACAGTGTCATGTTCTGATCAAATTTTATGCTTTGTTGTCTCGCAGTGGCATGCAAGTACTCTGGCCTTCTGTGAAGTACCTAGAAACACAGACTTTTAAAAACATTAAACCCTTATTTTTAGGTGTGCAGCAGAAATCCTTAGTAGTAACCTCAAACTATGAAGCCAGAAAACTCGGAGTTAAGAAACTGATGTCTGTGAAAGATGCTAAAGAGAAGTGTCCTCAGCTGGTACTGGTTAATGGAGAAGATCTAACTCCATACAGGGAAATGTCATACAAGGTTACAGGTACAAAATTAACAATTTTTCAGTACAGGACAAACGCATCCAGTTAAATTCTGTGTGCACATGCACACGTATGCAATATTACTGCTATGTGCTGCTGTAAAAGTTCTTGAGCCTCCTACTGTGGTGATAATTATGGTCATCAGTGTCAATGTTTCCTAAAATAAGATACTAAACTTGGTTGCAGTCTGGGTCAGGCATTATATCATTCCGATGTTTTATGGGATCTGTATGCTGTATTAGGTTTATTAGCCACGTAGTTCTTGAGGAACATTTTTTCTTTCTTAAATACTGATTTCATTAACATATTTCTAAGCGTAAAATGATGGAGAACAGAACCCTCAAGCCTTTGAGTGGGTAAACTTCTTTAGTATCTCTTAATTATATGGTACGTCTGTGTTGTCACTTATTACTGCTTTTTATTACTAGCAGCTGTAACGGGTGAAATAGTGATAAATGTAAAAGCCAGGCTGACTAAGAAGCAGGTTTCCTTTGGAAAAGGCACTGCAGAGGTTAAGAGCTATTATTTTGTAGAGAAATAAGGAAAGAAGTTTGAGAAGAAAAGCAAATGACAGAGTGTTGTGGGATAGAGAAATATTTTTCTTCTTTACATGCTCTTCATTTATTCAGTAAATATATAAATAAAATAAATATATATTCAGTGTCTTATCATCCAGAAGAGAATAGGATTTCTCTTCTTGAAAGCATCCTGTTGGAATTTATAGGAACTCTGCTGTGTCTCTTCCTCCTAGGATTGTTGGAAGAATTTTGTCCTCTAGTGGAAAGGCTCGGGTTTGACGAAAATTTTGTAGATATCTCAGAGATTGTAGAAAAAAGGCTAACCCAGCTACAACAAAGTGGATGTTCCAGAGTGTGTGTGTCTGGCCACGTGTACAACAACCAAGGTGAGTATAACAATCTTCATCCTGAAAAATACAACATTTGTGACATTTAGGAAAAATATCTATCTTCTTCTAAGTATTGTTCAATGCTGAACAGGTGGAAAACTGTGTTGCTTGTGCTTTGTACTTGAGAGTTCACGTATCACAAGTGTGAATGGGTGTTCCTATTAGACTGTACATAAAATAAATCTCCGTGGCTGATTATAGAGAACTGATTTTCCTTATTTTTTTTATTATTATTTTCTTATTCTTGAAGATAGCCTTACCGAAGGCAGGGCAGCCCTCTAAATCAAAGACTCTGAAATCTCTCATTTCATTATGTTGATGCAAGAATCTGCAACGCTTCAGACCTTGACACCTATTAATATATTATATTTAATATTTTAAACGCTCCCTAAACATTTTGTATCCTTGACAGTATGCTCCTGGTTCAGACAGTGGGCAGTGTCTTTTACAGGGACTCTGGGAAGAAGGAGCATGGATGCTGAAGTCATAGCGATACCACATGTAACAGAATGTAAAAAATGCCCAAATTTAATTAGAGAGCCAACAAAGGGACCGTTTAGGTGCTGAACACTGCTTGCTTGCTCTTTGCAGCTATCGATTTACGTGATACAATGCACGTAAGGCTGGTTATTGGATCTCAGATCGCAGAGGAGTTCAGGCAAGCCATGCACGCTCGTCTCGGCCTCACAGGCTGTGCAGGAGTGGCCTGTAACAAGTTGCTGTCTAAGCTGGTATCTGGGACCTTTAAACCAAACCAACAAACACTTCTGCTGCCTGAAAGCTGTCAAGATCTGATGCGCAGCCTTGATCACATCCAAAAAGTGCCTGGTAAGTGTGGTGCTATAAGTATAGATGGCGAGCATGTTGACAGCCCTTAAAATAATAAGAAAAAGTACTGCAAAGATTATAACTGGAATAATTTTAAATCTAGTTCCTGTAAGTGGCCAGGGGGGTGTAGAGGTGTATGGTTAGGGTGTTTTTTTGTGTTTTTTTTTAATCTGTTTTATTAAGCAGAAGGAACAAAACGACTTTGGTTTTCTTTTCTTTTGGTTCTCTTTGGTTACTGATACTAGGTTTTATACGGAAAAGGTTCTTTGGTTGTGTTTCTTCATTTATTCTTAATTTTCTGTCTGGAAACCTATTGAGAGTTATTTAACCAGTCTGGAGCTTGATCAAGTATTCAAGAAGTCCTTTGCCTGATTATTCTATGCTGTTGTTGGCCAGGAAACGTTGTTGCAGGCTACAGACACAGCAGGACCTTTGTTTTGCCCTAGTGTGGCTTTTCTAATGACAGATTCTCTGATTGGAATGGGAACTCATGGAATCATAGAATGGTTGGGCTTGGAAGGGACCTTATAGATTGCTCCAAGCCCCATCCAGCCTGGCTTTGAACACTTCCAGGGACGGGCGTCCAGAGCTTCTCACCAAAAATGTTGCTGAGAAGCCTTCACTGCATTAATGAAAATAACTCTCAGCACTGATTTCTACGTGGGTGAAATAATATTTTTATTATGTATGTACAAACATTCACAGAAAAGTGATAGTGTGTGTGTACGTGTGTATATTTTTTGATTTTCGTTCCTTCTATGTATTTTTAATACACATTTTTACTTAGGCATTGGCTACAAAACTGCCAAACGTCTCGAAACACTGGGCGTGAGGAGTGTGTGTGATCTCCAAACATTTCCATCCCCCGTGTTAGAGAAGGAACTTGGGGCTTCTGTTGCTCAGCGCATCCAAAAACTCAGCTACGGAGAAGACGACTCCCCCGTGACTCCATCAGGCCGCCCTCAGGTACAAGAATTGTTCTGAGATACTTAGTAGAGAGCAAAAAAAAAACTGCTTTGAGTTTTATACAGCTCAGCTGGACTAACTGAAATCATTCCAATTATTTTGCTAACTTTATTTAACAATTCCTGCATTTTCGTATGCGCTCCCTAGCATAACTCATAATAAAGCATTATGGTAGTTTTTATTTCCCCTTCAGAATTTTGAAATGAATATAAAATTGAAGGGATTAATGTGTGTTTTTTCAGTCCTTTAGCGATGAAGATTCCTTTAAAAAATGTTCCTCAGAAGCGGAAGTGAAAGAGAAAATGGAAGAACTGCTTCGTAGCCTCTTAGACAGGTGACTGCCTTCAGTAGCTCTTTCTGATGACTGGATTTGTGACCTGAAGGGACTTGGAGCATGCGTTAGGTTTGTCTCACACTCAACATTTCTCCTCCGAGTAAAATGCAGCTTTAGGAACAGCACTCACCTTTCCAATTTCTCTTCTTTTTATTTTTTGCTTAATTCATCAATTGTCTGTTGGTATTTTCCTCCTGCCCCCTGGGACACCCCTACCTCCGGCCCTCCCATTGCCATCCAGCTTTTCTGATGAAGGTCTCTGCATCGTTCCACTTGCTGATCGTTCTCTGTTGCTGTGGTCGTGCCTTGCAGTTCTGACTGCATCTTCACTAATATCTCTCATTTCCTGTGAAGATCCTTGGTTTTTCTTTCATTTTCCGTAGGTGAGTGGCTGTCTCTGCTTTCAGACCCTTGGTTATCATTTCTTACATTTGTCTCCTACTCCACAACTTTTTCTTCTCTTATGCTGAAAGAATATTTTCACTTCTTCCACCTTGCCTCATGAATCCAGGCAACATCCAAACCCAAAATATTTGAAAAGGTAAAAACAGCATAGCAGGTGGATTCCATTACTCATTTCTTTACTATGACTTTCCTATCCTCCCTTTCTATCCCGTGACTCTGTTTAAAACCAGTTAATAAGGATAAATAGCCTCATAACGCTGAATTGTTTCTCTTCTGCTATGCTTCGATTTCTTCTGACTCTTAAAACCCTTCATGTTCCACATTTGTTCTTGATATTTTTTCTTGAGAAATATTTTTCCTGCTCTCTGCAGGCTTCTCTAAGCCTTAAAATAATCTACAAGTCATAAAGGTGTTTTGTTTTTTTTTTTCCCCTACATCTATGCAAGTCTCATAACAGACACAACCAATTTAATTACAAGAGCATTCTGGACAGGGAATCTTTTCTCTGCATCTTGGGTGTTTCTCAGAACAATCTCTCTCTTCAGATTTTTGATTACTATGCCCTATCTTGTTATCTTTTTATTTAATTATTTAGTAGGGAAAATACCTCCATAGCTTTTGGAGGGGGAAATGAGTACATCATACTTTGTTTCTTCCCTTTCTTTCAAAAGTTAGCTAATTTTTTTATTTTTTTTGCCCTGAATTGAGGAAGTTTTCTTGGAAAGCTAAAAACTAGAAGCTGAGGATTACGTAGCGTGTAACTCCAAAGACAATGCTAAATGGATTAAATGCTGAAATGTGGCAGTGTTGCAGACTAACCCATTTAATTTTCACATCTCTTTTTTTTTTTTCTTTTTTTGAGTCTTTTTAAGACTCGTACAGACAGTACTCACACAGTTTTGGAATCCTAAATTAGGAGTCATTAAGGTAGAATGAAGTTCCCCATAAAATCAGCAGAGGAAAATCAGGAGTTGGGAGAGCCATAGTGCTTAATTTAGTGACTTTTTAACCTAAACTATGTGGTGTGACAGCTTCCAGAGGCTCCCTGAAAAATACTTGTAGTAACATTCATCACTTTGCACACGTTTGTGTTCCACAGGGTATCCAAAGACGGAAGACAGCCGCACACCGTGAGGTTGACTATCCGCCACTTCTCTGCGACCGATAGGTGGTTCAATCGGGAAAGCCGTCAGTGCGCTCTTCCACCTCATCTTGTTCAGAAATTTGGAAAAGGTACGCGTAGGAATTTTTGCAAATGGTCACACTTAGCATTTTTGAAAACGATAGCAGCACAAAATTGGTCCTTAGCTTCTCTGAGCACTGCATGTTGTCAAAAGATACTAAATGAAAAACTTTCAGTTCAAGGCATACCTGAGAGGGCAGAACAAACATTTTAATGACCATACTGATGAATAATTTTGGAAGCCTATAGCAGTGTTTAGAGCCTGACACTTCAGGAATTCATCTTTTGAGATAAATAAAGGTTTCCTTAGTGGATTTATAGAGTTATATACTAAGAATAGCAGTGTATTTAAAACTTTTTTTAGGTTATCATTGATGTCTGTACATGTAAAATGTTGAAAGTTCACAATATAAAGTTAGAAGTGCCTCACACATTGCCTTGTACTTTGCTATTTAAATCAATCTTCAGTCAACTATTTTTGATTGTATACATAACTTTTTCTTTCAATTACTGTTTGTTTCAGAAAGCAGCAACATTATATCTCCACTGATTGATATACTCCTGAAACTCTTTCGAAAGATGGTAAATGTAAACTTACCATTTCATCTTACCCTCTTGAACGTTTGCTTCTCTAATCTCAAAGATGTTCCTAGCAGCAAGAAAGGATCGATAGGTTTTTATCTCAAGCAGATGTCACCACCAACGTCAGGCTCTTGTAAAAGTGTCCAGGTAAGCTGAAAAATGCTGAAAATTATCTTTGCAGATAAGAAAGTTCTGAGATATTTCTGTCTTTATTATTATAAATTTAAACTTTAACTGTTTGGAAGTTTTTGATCATAAATTTTATTCATAAAATGAAGATTTCTTTGGAATCTTCAGAGCAGGTGCTGCTTGTTTGCTTTCTTTATTAGATTGCTTAAAACAAATTTCATGCTATCTGTTTTGAGTGGAACAGCCAGGTAGGTTATCAGCCCTCTGGACCTGAAGAGAACAGAATTCACTAAGGGAATCCAGATTCACTAAGAAATCCAGATGTACATCTTCTGAAAATAATTCCTGACTTTTGCTTTTAATTTCAGTAAGATGTGCTCTTATTTATCACTTGTGAAACAATAACCCACTTAGATATCATTACATAGAAGCATGTTTTCATATTTTACATCTGAAAATTGTAAAGTTCATATTCCTGTACAACAGGAATTGATTTAAAGATAAAGCCAGGGATAGAACTTGTATCTTTTACCTTAAATTAAAATCTCCTTAAAGTTGCTGATCATTTACCTTGTTGCTCTTATTATAAGATGCTTTCAGAGTGATTATTTAATTTACTATGCATCCTTAAGTCTTCCTGTCCAGACTAGAAATTAAACAAAGATGCAATTCTGTGTTGGCCACTAGCATCACATTCTAGGCCGTGCAGACTCTGTGGAAACACTGCTAAGTAATTCCAGGAGATGTTTTCCACACATAACAGAAACAGTAACTTCAAAATGACATCGTGCACTGATTCTGTCTTGACATCTTGATTTTGCATATCGGTAACTCGTGTGTTTCTTGACTGCTCAGGAATAAAGCAATAAAATACAGCTTCAGGGTATTTGCTCCTTTAAAGGAAGAAAAGGATTCCCTGTTTAGATCTGTGTTTGAAAATAAGATTTAAAAAATAAAAGCATTACTGATCGGGAGGAAAGAATTAGTGTCTATTAAGGAATAATTTGAAGAAGTTGCTGTTAGTAACATGGTGCTCAGTGATTAGTAGGCTTGTGGTTTTATGCACATCTTATGCCACAGGAGATGGAAGACGGCTCACAAGGTGAAGGAAGTGCTTCTTGGAACCAGAACTGGAACAGAACTGGCACTACAAAAGCGAAGAGACCTTCAGAGGAAAAGGAAAGCGATACAAAGAAAGCAAGAATTCCTGCCTTCCCCTGTCATTTGTCTCCTGGTATTGACCAGGCAGTCTTCAGGGAACTTCCAGAGGATATTAAAAAGGAAATCATGTCTGAAAAAGCAGGAGAAGTGATCTCTGCTGAGGATGTTTTGGGTCAGACACCGGTATGTTTCGCAGAGGAGGTACAGAGCTCCTCCCCGAATTCTAAGGGTGATGAGAACTCTGCAGGGTACAGTGCACACCTCACATCAGCTCGTGAATCAGCATCAGCTTGGACACACAGCTCCAGCACCAGTTTTTCTGCTGAGTATCCTAAAAGTGTGTTAACAGGCATGGAAGAAAACCCTCCTGACTCTCATAGCTTCTGGGATTTATCAGTTGAAGCTGGTGCCAGCCAAACTGCTCCACGTGTCCCTGCCTCGGATAAAGATGAGCAGGATTCTGAAATCACTTCCGAGGATAAAAACAACAGCAGGAAAGTGGGAATTGTACTTCCTCCTAGTGTCGATCCGAAGACTTTTTATGAACTACCCAGAGATGTGCAGGAAGAACTCCTAGCCGAATGGAAGAATCGGGAACCTGTGTCCAAAACCTGTATAGAAAAAACCCCAGAAAGGCCTAAAACAAATAGAGGAAAAAAGAACGCAGCAGTTGAGTTCCTCACAGTCTAACAGTTTGCTGAGGTATTTTAAACCACGGTGAAACATTTTTCATAACAGTAACGCTGTAGGATTCAGCACTGGAAGGCACTTTAGGTTAGTTACTGTGAAGATTAAAAATGTATTTTGACATAAAACCTGCTGCTGACTGCTTAAGCAGTAATTAGTCTTATTTTTCTTCTCTGTTCATTTATACGATTAATCTCAAATTGTCCTCAAAAATTACTTTTAAGCTAACTTATTTTAATATTCACTATCAATACCTTAACACGCTGACCAGAGGAAGAAATTTTGAATTTAATTTCTCAGTGATTTATATTATGCACGCTATTAATTTTTTTCTAACAACTCAGGAGGAGACCAAGTAGTGAAGATGAAAGCCATGTTCGCTCTCTTCTTTTAATTTGCACCGCTGCTTCTGTGATTTGTAAAAGAAATTGCTCTTGTCCTAGCTGCCACCCTTTCCTGCCATTTAAGCTTATCTAGAAGTACTGGAAAATCTACAGGAGCAATGGGAAATGCTACTTCCAAAGAAACCAGCTCATTCCCGGACTTCAGGCAGCACACAAAAACTCACGGTGGGTTTTGGAGCTCAGGATTCAGAAGACGACAGACAATCTGAGTGAGTATAAAGAGCAGCTTTTAATGAGATGCTGTATAATCATATTCACCAGTCTTTCCTTCAAATATTTAATTGCAAACCAGTGATATAGTTGTTAATTACACTCACACACTTAATAAACATGTTTAAAGTCTCTAGTACACAAGATCTTCGCTTGTTTCAGTCAGGAGTGCATAATTGAGGTAAGAATTTATCAAAGTGTTTAAAGCTATAGCAAAATATTTGACTACTGCATTTTAACATTTATAATTTGCATCACCGAGTCCTCATGTGACTGCATACATAGTGCAAAAATATTACAAGACATCACCTGATAACAGTGAAAGCTACATCCTGTGCTTTGAGGGCACTTCGGGGTAGGTTCTTGCATCATTCCCCAGAAGCATTCACTGTGTTAACAGAGAAGTCGAGCTTTACACATTTCCACATACACCATTAAAATAAACTTCATCTTCCATTTTAAATATGAATCGAAGTAAAAAACGCACGTGACTTAAGCCCGTATTATTTTCCACTTATGTTTAATTACGGTCTTTAAAGCTTTTCAGTCCAGCCCTTGTTTCAGTGATTAAGTTTACGAGAGTCGTAGGTAACGCTGTCTCCACCACGGAGCAGGGAAGCATTCCTCCGAGTTCTGGCTGAATAAATACAACTAGCTTAGAGTGCTCTGGATTCCTGCGATGAAAGGAGCAAAATCCTTCAGTTAACAGTTGTTACTGCTGCTTTGAAACTTACAGAGCTGTGCAAATGTTTACAAGTGTTTACAATCTCTGTTGAAATTACTCATATATAAAATGAAGGGTATACAAATGGTCCTAGAAGATTAAATTCAGCTGTTGAGTCTAACAAGGTTCCCTCCGTTGTTTCAGAAGATTGATCTGCACAAAAATCTAAAAGTTTGCCCAAAATAAAACTGTCTAAATAATAATAATAAAAAGCTGTTTGGGTTCAGCAGATTTAAGCTTGGTATAGAGAGGACAAGTGAGTAACTGAAGAGGCCGTTTAAATACTTACTCAGGCAAGGGAGAACACACGTACCCACAGGGATTGTTACGGCCTCGGACACAAGAGGGAGTTGGAGGGCAGCTGGAATATTCCACGCTGATGGCTACAAGTTGCCACACACACACAAAAAAAAAAAAAAAGTGAAATTAACCTATTTTTATACATGTGAATCATAAAACTCAAAAATAACTTTTGAAAACAGCAATGCCAACCTGTGTGGGACAGTAAAAGATCTCACAATATGCTCCCTGATGCGTTCAATCGTTTTATTCTATAAGCGAGATATCTAAAGGACATCAAATATTTCAACATAAACCGAAATCTCTGTGGATGTTTGGGCAAGCATACCCAGCAGTTTTTTATCCTCGGGACGTGATTACACATCCTGAAGTGTTGAATTGTGGTTTAGTTCAGGACAAAGAAGTCAGTTTGGTAGCAGCTGTCTCTCATTAGTTTATGCAGTTGCAAAGAGGACGAGGAAACTGTTTGCTGCGTACATGGACAGTAGTAATTGGGAGGGGTGGTTTTGTTTAGTTATAGAGCAGTAGTTAGGAGGGGTTGTTTTGTTTAGCTCCCCATTAATTTTGCGTAATAAAGCGTTGTGACACAGCTTGAAAAATAGTCATAGGTTGGTAAAGATCTAAGGTGAATAAGGGCATTTTCTGCCATGTCCTAAGACCCCTGCAAAGGAAAAGCTCAGCACAGAAATAGCAGTGAGCTAATTTCCTTGTTTATCGTGTGAAATTAATCATTTTACATTTGGTGTATGTATACAATCAACTACAGACCAAATTAGCAAAGTTTACTTTTAGAATTCCCTAGTACTATTTGGTCAGGAAGACCCCAAAGTATAAAGAAGAGTTTATTTAACAAAGGCTGAACTTCTATATTGAAATAAATTCTAAACTTCTTGTTATTGCTACTATTTATTCTTTTTTAGGGCAGGAGGGCAACAGAGACAGTGAAAGGACTAGAGGGCATGTGAGGAGGAGTTGGGAGGAGCAGCTGAGGTGATCTCATCCCCAGCCACAGCTTCCTTGTGAGCGGGGAGCAGAGAGGGTGGTGCTGAGCTCTCCGGTGACCGCAAGGAAACAGCTGAAAGCTGCACCAGGGGAAATCCAGACTGGACTTCCAGATCAGGAAACAGTTCCTCGCTGAGAGGGTGCTCAGGTGCTCAACACCCTTAGCTATATGCTAAATGGTTTAACTCTGTGCAGAGTCAGAAGGTGGACTGGATGATCCTCGTGGGTCTATTCCAGCTCAGGATGTTCTATAAAGGATAGTTTGTGTTAAAGAAACAGTTTTGGAACAAACCAGAGGAAACTGTTACCAGTAAGACCACATGCAAGGAGTATATATCCTCTGATTAGACTGCAGAACCGATCCTAAAGAAATTCACGAGGTTTTCCGAAATAAACATGCAGTAATTACACAGAACTCACAGTTAGTTGTAAGGATGCCACCAGGATAAGCTTTGACATGCAGCAGGTCGACAAAATCTCGCGAGGAAATCAGGCCCATGCCATAGCTGTGCGTTACGCTGTGGTATATACCAGTGTCCTACAAGTGAGTACACGGATTTTTTTGTGTATTAGTATGTAAAAAGCTAAGCTTTATTTGATGGACAAGCAGTAAAATTGCTGCGTGAGAAACTCAGAACATGCACGTTTAGTATCTGGAGCTAGAATACCTAGTACAGCATCACTTACACCTTCATTCTGTCCTTGTCTCGTGTGCCCACATGAGCGCAGCACCCAGTCAAATCCAAGAAACGTCTTGTGATAATTTCCATATTATTAAGGCTTTGATTTGCAGATTCCCTGGTGTGATTTCATTCAACCTTCCTCTAGCTGCATGTAAGCAACTGTAACCTACCTTTTAAAACCCCCATTTTACACCCCTTCCCAAATCTGTGTGCTATCTGAGAAGCATGCTAGCTTGTACAGTGGCCAGAAGAGGTTGTTTTGTTTTTTTTTTTTTAGTTGCTTTTTTGTTTTGGTTCTTTTAAATTTGTGTAAACCATGCTCAGATCGAAACTTTCCCTAAATTTTGTTGTGATTCTGTCTCACCCTGCTCTTTAGAGACTTCGATGTTTTCCATCCGCTTAATTCTTGGCCTTTTATTTCACAACAAATATTTAAATCCGAAGGGGAGGGATGTTTCATATCCATTTCACATAAGCAGCAGGTTTAGAAAAAGTTCTGACCACCTCAGAATGAATTTCATATGCAGAGCTTTCTTCATCCCAAGAGAGATCGTTTTAGTCACCACAATTCAGGCAAAAATAGTTAAAAACTGTATTTTAGACAATTGCATTACCTGGTCAATGCTTTCTAACAGACTGTAAGATTTTAGTGCTTTGTCCCATCTGTTTCGATATTCAGGAAGATACATAAAAGGGATAATTTTACTAGGGACTTCCTCAATTATCCCTTCTCCACGGTATCTACATTTTGTAAAAACAAACAAAAACAAAACAAAAACAGATTTTTAAATTCACATTTATTAGGAAAATAAATTACACAGTAATAAACAGCTAGAAGGTGGGAACACCAGCCTATAATGAGGGGAAAGACAACAAACGTGATTGCACTCGATGGCTTAAAATGCAAGCAGTAATAAAAATAATGACTTTGTGGCTCATTTTTGAGACCATCACATTCTTAATGTCACACATCTTAAATGAATCATTTGCTGTCAGCTATTAGATAAAAATGTTAATTTAAATGTGTGTAATTTATCTCTTAATTTATATTTTTCTACGTGAATACTTTCAAACCTTTTTGATACTGCAAATCTTACTACTTATGAACCAGTACGCTGGTGTTTCTCCAGCTTTTGTTCCTAATACTCTGGAAAATCCAAGGGAAAGTTCAGAGAGGGAAGAGCAGCCTCCTACAAGGAAATAGGAAACTCCACTAATGCTGGGAAACGCTCAGTAGCACAGCACAGGCAGTTCACACACCTTGTTTCTGGGAAACTGAATCACTGCGCTAATCACTTACAGACAGCAATCGAACACAAAGGTTAAGGATGCTGCACAAACGAGCTGAAAGGATTCTGCTCACAAAGAGGTTAAGAAACGTGATATCAGATTTGCAGCCCCTGACAATACAGGACTGGAAAAGAAAAAGAGCAAACAGCTATTTCATCACCACTTGGTGAAGTGGCAGCGTGGGTGTGAGGGACTGCTGCAGGAACTTGCCTCTCTGCTACCTACAACAGGTCTGAGGGTGATGGAAAACATTTTAATGTCTGCTCAAAAACAGGGAACGTAAACCATGGCAGGGCCAGTTAAAATCGTATTAATATTTGAATACACCCTTTATTTCCGTAGCTGCCAGGGATTTATGTTTACCAGCATCCTAAGCAACTCTCACCTGCAAGAATCTGTGTTTTCTCTACCAGCTTTGATGCTGCTTTCTCTCAGCAAGTAAAGCAAACTGTTCCTACTCCTGCCACTTAGAAAAGGAACTGGCGTTTGTGATACGTGGTTAATAAATGTGGAATGTCACACTGGAAAGGGGAGCAGCTATATTTTTGCTTCCAAAATCAGCTGGTATTCCTTCTCCTTCCTAAAAGATGCCAGGGATCGATGCAGCTTGTTAACGTGACAAAGATATTTGCTTCTCCTGACTGCCTACGTGCCTGATGGGGACTGCAGGATGCCTTTTTCACCCAAAAGACACAAGTCAGGCGCATCCTTACGCGTTCCCAAGCTACCATATTCTCAGTCCTTCACACCCAGCTGCACTGGAATAAGATCTGAAACACGAGAACAATGCCACATCCGCGCTATTCAAATTCTTATTAAGATAATAGTACTCTTAACATATTCTAATGGCATATTACTTTCCATTATAATGCTATCATGTAATTCTTTTGTAATATCATTAATACAGCGTCGCGTTCTCTAGTGAATACCTTCCGTGCTTCAGAAGAAATCAGAAAACCAAGCACGATTTTTGGATTTAGAGTGCCACTCATCAGAAACATCTCATCATACTGAGAATCTACAAATTTCAATAATCAGATGCGTATTGTCTCTGCTGCTTCTTTGTCTAGACTGACATTTAATATAATTTAATACCCATTAGGCATTAAAAAAATAAAACAGCTAAGGACACACCGTAAGTGTCCTTTTACTCCCCTTTCGCATGCTTCTCTTCAGTGAGATTTCTTTTCTCCCTGTTTCAGTGATCTGTCTCAGCCACCAGTTGAGTGCCACAGCCAGCATAAATGAGGACTGCAGAGCTTGGAGAGGGGTAAGGAAGCAGAAAGGATGAACGTAAAAAAGAACAGTCAGTGTCAGCAAGTTGTATCATCAGGTTACTACTCCACCTCCCCTAATTCCACCCTCTGGGCAAAATCCAGCTCAACAACAGCACAGAATTCATAGCTCAAAAGAAGAGTGGACAGATGCTGCTGCAGCTTCAGAGACTAAAAGATTCTCTTCTTCCCACTACAGCAAATTCAGTTTCAAGTGCCAGGAAGAAAAAGGCACGGGTAAAGTAGAGCGAGAGCTTCAGTGTGTTTACACGTGTAAGTATCGGTCATTTCGCAGGTGTGAAGATGTGAAAAGGGAACTCCTGTTGATAGCTGTAATGGCACGAACAGGATATTCCACCAGGAACAGCTTCCAACTTCACGTTAATAGGTACCTACTTACTCCATATTAATAACTTACATAGAATATTTAATTTTCATAGCACATTTCTAATTGTTTGGGAAATGCATCTCTCCTATTCCAGAACTACTGCTGGCTCAGGGCAACTATACTGCAAAATCTCTGCAGTTAACAAGACCAAACACATCCCCGAGGGACAGCACACGATTACTTTTTCCGTTTAGATCTTGGGTGTCACCGCTCGGGACAGATGTTGGCGTTCGTTACAACGACAAACAAAATGCAAATACTTACATATTTCCCGCATACTCTTTGGAAGGCTTGGAAGAAACTGTAACATTTTTCTCAAAATGAGAAAAAGAAAATAAAAAGTTAGTGTGCTACCTTTCACCAGTCGCTAGTTCTTAAAACAAAACAACGTTTTAAACGCTTTCTGCAACAAAACGTATTTAATACGGGTAACTTCATTAAAAGTATTAACTGGTATTCACTTACCGAAACTTTTATCACCCTCCATCCTGAAGTATCCTGGCTGTACGATAAGATTTTTTCTGAGATTTCATCCGTGATTTTCTTATAGTCCATTTAGCTGCAAAAACGTAAAAGCAATTTGTTGGCATGCAATAAAGCATCCCCTGAAGGGCAGCAAGGCACAGGGCTCACTTCTCTATTTTTTCCGAAGGCTTTAATAAACCTTGAGCATTTCTATCACATCTTCTTGGTCGTCACGTTCCAATTCAGAAACAAAGCCAGGCATTTATTAAAACAACATTTTATGACCGCTTCCCAGCCCGGACGCCTGATGACCGGGGCTTGGGGTGGGACTTTCTCATCAATTCCAGCGCCCAGCTTGCACCTCACTGCCACCAAACCCCAAAATGGGTACAAATCGGGTGTCCCCCTCCTCACAGGGCTCACCACACGAGGATCCGGAGCCGCCAGGACGCCTCACAAACCCCACAACCTCTCCTCCTCCCCTCCTCACACCCGCCCCCCTCAGGCTCTCCTCACCCGCCTCACGGCCGCGCTCAGCCCCGCCCCGGGGCATGCCGGGAGTTGTAGTCCCAGCTCGCCCCGCCCCGCTGCGCCGCCAGCCCGCCTCGGACTACAACTCCCATGAGGCCGCGCGTGCCCGCCGCCATTTTGTGTGGGGGTGCGGGCTCGGGAAGCGCTAAGGGGGCTCTGGGGGCCCCGCGGGGCGTGAGGGGCTCGGCTCGTCCCGGCTGCTTGTCCTGGGCTAGGCGGGGGGCACCGGCGGTATTTTGGGGTTAAAGGGACCCAGGAGGCTTCCAGCAGCCCTGCTGTAGGGCCCCGCTCCTCCTTTCCGTGTAAATCGTGGTGATCCGCGTGTGCGTGTGGTGCGCTGTGTAATAAAGTTACTAATTCCTGTGCCTCGTCGCAGCGTCTGCTTCTTTCTAACACACTAACGTGCTTCTCAAATGGGCTTTTGCTTGCAGGGATTATAATTACAAGGAGGTTTTGGGCTTGTTTGCAGGGTTTGGAGCCAGTCTGCCCTTCAGTCCATGGTTTGGGGGGTTACGAAGGAAAGCGTTGGCCAAATTGTGTAAATTGGATAAATCTGAAGGGCTCCAATGCTAAATCAGTTCTTGTTGTGACCTGTAAAATAATACTGATGTGTGTACACATCTGGCCATATAAAAGAACCTACAGGTTTCTAAGTTTCTACTTCAGTTGCATTCAACATTTTTTTAATTTATACTAAGCTACTTCTGTATGAGAGCCCCCATTGTGCTTGTTATTTTATTAAAGATCATGATATTCCTGCATTTCTTTGCTGAATGTCAGCGATATGAAGCACAGTTATTGGAAAAGCTGAGGATCCTTGGGAACTAGTGAGGAGCTGGATTTCTTTGCCATCCTCTCAGCTCTGTGCTTCACTAAAGCTTCAGTATACGAGAAGTTTTCCCTATTGAGATATATATTTAATATTTTTATATATATCTATATGTATTTTTTTTTCTCCCTGAGGCTTTATTTTCTCCCTTTTGCTTTTCTAGGCGTGATGCCTATGGATGACTAACTTACTTGAAAAGCAGGAAGTCGAATAGCTAAATATTATTTTCCTCCAGATTACTGACATTTTACATAACTAAAAAAAGAAAATCATAGATGCATTACAGTGTGAGAACAAACTGTATTTATATTAAACTGTATTTAAGTTATTTCAGTGCAGATGATGACTTGGGCTTTCTTTTTCCATTTAGATACCTTAAAAAATGAGTGAAGATCCAAACAGAAATCTGGATAAAAACCACGACCAGCTTAATAAAAAAAGCAGTGTCTCCTCTCCTGATTCAACGGTATCTGTTCTTCTAACCAGCATTGGCAGCAGCAGTTCATGCTCCTGCAGTTTGATTCAATACAAGGACAAGCTTTACAGCTCTGCATCTGAGGCGCTGCAAGCTTATATCGAAGATTTTGATCTAAGTCTCACGTCTTCAGAAATAACCCCTGGGAAGATCTGCCTGTGTCAAAGTACTCCCAAACCAGCGGAGTTTTCAAAGCATCACGTCAAAGGAAAACGCTGTGTGTTTTCTGCAAGTACGTCTTTTAACAAGTTTTGATGTTTTCTGGTTGTTTTTTTTGTTTGTTTCCCTCCATTGCCAATGGTTTTGCAACTCCTTGTCTCATGTCAGCTGCTTTGGCGGAGTATTCCCTGTATGACTGCCTGCAAGTCTTCGTGGTATAATAAATGATGCTTGATCATGGCTAGCAATATTTGTCATTCTCTGTGGTGCAAATATTGCATTCAGAAAATATTCCAGACTGCAAATGTGTATTCCAAAAGGTGACGTAACTTTTAACTGCTGTTATTTTTATCAAGATCCCAATTCCTGCAAGAACTAGAATTCAGTCCCCCTTGCTTAATAATATACCCAGCTTTAATTTATTACTCCACGTTAGATCTTACAAGTGTGTCATTCTGGTATGCCTGAAGTTATGTGATTCATGTAAACTGTCTTTGTTTTTCAGCGTTGGATGACTGTAACGAGCACGTGGGATTAAGTTCTTTCGCTTCACCCTGTAGAGGGGAGATGGAATGTGACCCAGACTCGATTAGTCTTGCGACAGATGATCTGTTAGCTTTTCCAGCAGATGGATCGCTGCCCTGCGTCCCGAGCAGGCCTTTTAAATCAAGACATCAAAATAGTGAGTGGAGCAGGTGGCCACTTAAAAAATCTGTCTGCCCTTCCCACACCGTGTCACTCCATACTGAAAGGGGTTCCTGTCTTCAGGAGAACAGCAAAGCTGATGCTAATCAGAATGTACACAAACCCTTTAATAAAAGGAAATACGATGTGTTTACACCTAACAAGTACTCTATCTCCTCGAAAGGAAGTTCCAGACCCTTATCTGTTGAGAACTCTGCCACTTTTCCTGCTAAGAATTACCCAAGGTGGCTTACCAGTCAGAAGGCTGATTTAAGCGTATCAGGGATAAGCAGTATTCCCAGTTTTCACTACCCAGTCTGGCTGAAGAGTCACAACCTTTTCTCTGCTGCGACTAAAGAAAGTGATGGACACAATTTTAACACCCAAAGCAAAGCTTCCTCTTCGCAGATTTCTGAAATGCTGAAAAACCAGTGCTCCGTAGATGAGGACGGTGCTGATTTTCTTAAAAAAAGTAGTTGCCTGGATCTGACAGGTGATAATGAAGTAGCAGAAAGTTGCAAGTATGACAGCCCAGATGCACTCCTCCAATCTGGTACCTCCTTTTCAAAGCACACCAAACAGTCATTCGGAGGTAACTAGAGTTCACAATTGTTTCTGAATTTTGAGGGTGAGCTAATGAATTTCATTTTCAAACAAAAGCTCTCGTTATGTTAGTCTGCATGGTACAGCAGATTTATTTACTTCCATCTTTGACAAGCTGATTCAAAGCATTTATTAGTTAGATGACCAAGCTGAACAGCTTTTATACTGTAAATTTTCATATATTGGTGAGTATTTAAGCATTCCTTTTACAGCAGAGAATATTTATTACAGTGGCATATCTTCCAGCAAGGTAACAACAGTAATTCTATAAATATTCAAATAGAATTTCAAGCTTTACATTAAACTATATGACGTCTATTCTTTTTCTTCGTTATGCAAAGCACAAATATAGATCTCTTCCTTCTTCCAAGAGGTTAGATGCAAAAGCTAAGTTAAAATGTTGTGAATTCAAAGTCACAAAATGCGAGATAACGCAAATGTCTGCAAACACCTTTCCAATATGTATGCATGATGGACTTCAGATGCATGCATAAATCGTTTTTTTTTTTTCCCAAACATAATTTTTCTACCAATCGTGAAAAGCCTGGGTATAAAAACAGATGAGAATATCTCTGTTGTGATTAGTGCTTGTCTCAACTTACTCTAAAATGTGAGTTCTGTGTGTGAGTTGTGTAAAAACAGCTTTTAAAAGAACCCATACAAACAGATAAGAAAACTAACTTAAGTTTTTGCAGGATTAATAAATAATATTTGTTTGGTGAATTCATTATATTTCTACAGAAAATTTAATTAGATTTTCTACAGCATGAAAGATAATAAATAATCATTAAATAATCTTGAATGCAGCACTTGTTTTATGTAGGAAGAGAAACACTTGATTACTTTAAACATTCTCCCAGCTAGAAACATCTTTTTGGTACTGCTGATTCACATTTTTTATTGCCATACCAACATAAGCAAAGGTGTTGTGCTGTGGCTACACAATCTGTAAAATATTTCCAGTGCTAATTCATCTCTAGTAATTTTGAGTATTGCATAAAATTAAAAGTAGTGTGGAAATAACGTGTCCAATCCTCTCCAAGGGCTTTCTGTCCTTGCTTTTTAGAAGACCAACTTGAGCTGCTCACTTTGAAGGCTGAGAGAGATCTGGAGAGTTCAAATGAAGGTTTGTCAAACGCTCTGGAAGGTGATGGCAGTCCTTCTACCACAGATATACTCGGAGCAGAAAGATCCTGGGAAGATGTTCCAGGGTGCTTTGTAAGTAAATAAACACAGATTACGAAATCCTTTGTTCAGAAAAATGCATTATGTATTTAATCCCTTTTGTGTAGAGTTTATAAATATTGGTAATACGGCATGTGCATAAAGGATTTATTGTTAGATTTCCTGCCTAGTGCTAAATATTTGATATTCTGAGGTCAGATTAGTGCACTACTTTCCCTTCTGCACTGTCTCGCAAAGAGTGCTATCAATATTATTGTTGTCTTTTAATAATATATTTTATATATCATTGATACACAAAGGTATTTACTTCTAGAGAACAATTATGGTGGAATTTAAATTGATAAATTTAAGAGTATATGAAAAATGAAATAATTTAGTTATATTTAACAGGCGAGCAAAAGTCTCAACCTGCAGCATTCCAATTGCTAAAAATATTATTAAAATAACTATTTTTCTTTGGTTCTTGAAATTTAATGCTGGAATTGATGTAATAAAAACACCTCTGTATGCTATATTATAGCTAAAAATTAGTTGTCTTTAATTTATTATTATTATTATTTAGTTAGTTGCTTTTTAGGGCTACTCAGGATTGATTTAAACAGCAAAACTGGAAAAAAGTAGTAGTGTGGTTCTCTCATAGTCAGTTTTCATCAAAAAGACTGATTAATTCTTTCAGATTATCAACCTGTTGTTCTTCTCCATTGCATGTTTAATGTCGGTGCAGCAAATCACCGGTGCCTGCATGCTGGGAGGACAGAAACAATCCTCTGCCATTCCCCAAGGCAGACATCATCGATAAATTCTTGGAAGACTGTTTAGATGACAAGAACAAGGTCAGTAAAATTGAGGGTTTACTGCTTAGAGTGCCCAAAATGTGTAAGGCTGGTAAATATCAGAAGGGGAGATACCTCTAAATTGCTTTCCTTCTCCTAAAATGTACGAAGTAGAAAGTCAAACCGCTATAATTTAGTCGTATTTCAGCATGATGAATTCTTAAAGTTATTAAATCCTATGAGCTAACACTTAGTTTTACTTTTACATACCATATTTAGTTTAAACAGTAATTTTCCTGCCTTGAGTAAAAGAAAAAAACCGTTTTATTATGCATTTATTAAATGCTTCCTATTTAAGAGCCTTGCTGGTGTCGTGCTGGGTATGAGTCAAGTTCAAGGGGTAAATTCATATATTATTATTCACGCTGCCGCACTGGAATTGGGTTTTGGATTGAATCGACTCTCTTTAGATTATTCATTATTTTAATCCCATTCTTACATGCTAATCGCCTTCTTGGCAGTCTTAGTATTGTTCAGTCTTTCATTTTAATTATATGAACCCTTTCCTTTTCTATCACCCTTTCCTCAGCTAGGGAGATGAGCCCCGAGCCCAGTGTTCTAGTTCAAAGGCATAACGTTCATTTCTGTCGTGGTATGTTGCTTTTCCTTTCTGCCCTCTGTCCTTGAATCTTAACCGCTCTAACATTCTCTTTTCCTATCCTGCAGAAAAACAAAGCATTATCCTTTAAGTTAGTCCACAGTGGCACATATTTCTGTTCCCCTGTGGAGTTGTTTGACACTGAACCTAACCATCTGCATGAGTAATTCAGTTGATTCTGTCTAATGAATTTGGCTTCATTTCTAGAAAAGAGTTTTCCTAGATGACCCACAAAGTTTGGCACCTTGAATTATTTTGCTTGCTTGTTTTTTATTATTGAATGAGCAGCTATCACAAAGGTGCTAATTATATGAATGAATCTATGTTTATCATTAATGTTGCTTACTTGTTCTGTTAGTTATAAGATGTTAAAAGGTGTTCCAGCATTGCTGCCATAACATTTAAAGGACTTGATGCTGACAGCCATAATATTCTTGAATGATTTTACACAAGCCAGGGCTGAGACCTTTCTGTGTTGCTTCAGAACATACAAGCACAAAACAAAACAAAAATGCATGGATTTACAGTGACTTCACTAACTCTACAGTGGCATAAATTAAGATGATCCAGAGTAGCATGATTTATGTGCAGTTTATCAATAGACTTGCAAAGAACAGGTAGAGAGAAACACTCACAAATTTGCCTTTCAGCTGTTTGAGGGAAACTTCAAAACTTCCTCGAATTTTGATGTGTACTGATCAAGAAATGTTGCTGTTACATGCCCAATCAACACATTCTTTGGATTTTGGTTTAGGAAAACATCTTTTCTGGAGATCATAAGCACAGACCCCTGGAAGCCTTGAAGCTAATGTTGTTCAAGCTTCAAGCAATTCAGGGAAGACTAAACCCGAACGAAACAGCTGAGCAAAAGGAAGAGTTTGAAAAAGTAAGTAGTCAGTTTCCTTGTACTCTCCTGTCAGTATCGATGTGCTGTTTACGTTCTTTTATGGCTCAGTTTTCCAGTCAGCTTCAAAACAACACTGCCAGCAGATTCCATCCAGGTTGCATCAAGATCCAAATTGCTGTGCCCTAAAGCCCCGTGTCTTTTTGCTGTTCCTGCTGCCGTTGTGAATCAGTCTCTGTGCAGAAAGCGCTGCTTATCCAGGAGGTGGCGACATCCCAGAGAATCCTGCCCAAACAGAGCACATCACACTCCCCTGCTGCTCGAGCACCAGCTACAGCAGCCACTTGATGTGTTCTGGACAAGCTGTCTCCTGATTATGTCCCAATTAATATCAGGCTTTCAGGGGCATTTGAGAATCACGTTTTTAAAAAGTCACTCTCAAGTGTTTTATCCTCGCCTGCTTTAGCATCAGTGATTCAGTATTTTGCGTCCCTTGTGTTTCAAAATTCACAGATTAATTTCTTTATAACATTTTCATAATACTTCTTACATACAGCTCTTAAAGTTTATGTCCTGTACTCAGTAGTGAATGAATTCTCCATGCATATGGATAAGGAATGGGCCAGGGGGAGCAACCTTCTGCAACATCATAGATGCACAGGAACTTGGATTAAACCTCTCCTGAATTATTCTGTGTTTCCATAAAGTTTTTGGTAATCCTTTCCAATGAAATGTGCTATATTTTTTTTTCTGTCACATTCAGGTATGTTCCTCAGTTTACAATTTATTTTTTAGCTTTTTGAAAAAGGAGATGCTGAATTAAAACTCTGTGACAGCGAGATAATCCCTCTTACCAATTCTATTCAGAAGTAAGTGACTGTGGATTTTCTGATTTTTCACTGTTTTCAGAAAGTAGAGAGAAAGAATGATTAGCAGAGAGTTGTTGTGGGATCTGAAAAATGTTAAGAATAAGCAAATTGTGAATAATTAACAACAATCCTACCGGAAAGTCGTAAGTAACTAAAGAAATAATAACTTTGAGAAAAGGCAGAGTGGAAAACAGGTTTTGATTACGCAGAGCACTTGTTTCAACAAAAGTCAGTGTCACAGTATAATACTGTGATGTGAAATTAAAAGGTTTGTGTAAAAATACAGTAACTTTTAGAGTGATATGGTCTTTGATAACATGATTTAACACGTTTATCACCGTGTTAAATACCTATTCCATAATAATTTAATAATTTGCATGAGTGCCCATATTTGAGAAGACGTGTTTAGAATTTCAGTTCCCCACAATATTTTATCTTTTTCTAAAAGAAAATCTTAATTTGTTTTGTAATCTCTAAAACAGAACGAGTGGACAGTTAGACAAGATGATGGGAACTGCTTCTAATACAATTCAAACTGATAAACTGTTAGTAAGTAAACTGCTAGTAAAACATAATTTTGTGTTGATTGTAACTACTTAGACACTGTTATTAAAGTCTTCATAATTCCTAATTTAGGGCTTTACACCATGTGTCACATCTTAAGAGTCTTCCTGAAGATACCAATGTGAAACAAGAACAAAGTGACAATCATCAAGAAGATAAAGAAGAAAAGAAGCTGATATCAACGAAGTTTAATACTGTGTAATTTAGATAATTTGTCAGCCTGTACATTGTTCAATTTTTTTTTGAAAGGTGGACCAGTGCCTGCTCTGAAAAAAAATTCATTATTTATTCATTTTAATATTATTATAATATTAATATTATAATTCATTTCAAATATTATTATTTATTCATTATTTCTCTACCTGTTCATTACTTTCACGAGTTATCTCAAACCTGGAGTTATTAGTGCTTCCAGTAGGGTCTAACAACATGTGAGGAGACACCACTTTTAGAAGAACATGGAATTAAATCAACATTAACATTTCATGGAAAAAGCCCCGTGTATTTATATTTTTCATAAAAATAATAAAATAAATAAACTAAACTGTTTGTCCAGTTCTGGGTATCATAGTTGCACAGCCTGTTAGATTTTTTCTTATTTTCTTATCAGAATTTTATCGCCAATGAAGAGTATTTTAAAGAGGGCTTTGATTGCTTATATATCAACGGAAAAGTAACTTTTAGGATACATACACGAGGCACTGCTTGCAGTTATAGCTGGAATTTTGTTTTCTTGTAAGCAAAAATGAATTTACCACTCAGGAACAATAAATGAGTATGTAAGTCAAGCACCAAACAGCGGTTATTGCCATTTCCAACTTGTCAGTGGTGTTCGTTTCCTGGAGGCTAGGTCAAGGAAAAGGCATTTTATTGAACCCTAATCTGTGTTTCGATAGTGATGGGGTGGGGAAGGGAGGCAGAAAGCCCGTGTCCAGCACTTGGAGGAAATAATAAATTAGTAGGAGTTGTCAGAAGGAATGTCACCGTTTCTCAGCAAGTTACCAGAAGTGTTTGCTGAAGATGTACAGAAGTGTCCGTGATCGTATGTATTTGCATACGCAGGAAATCTTTTCTGCAGAAAGCACTTCCTGAATTGCAGTGTGTATATAAATGAGTAAAACCGAGCTGGGACAGTTCAGGCTTTGAGGAGGACAAGTCTTGTGCTCTCAGACCTTGCGAAGATCCCAGCGGGGGTAAGACAGAGGGTTGGCACGGTGGGAGGAAGACGGATGGGGATTTTGTCTCTGGGATTTCTGTCCTTCCCAGGGGAAGACCCTTTGTGATGCTGGGCTTTAAATGGGATAGCTGTGTGCTGCCGTTGTATTTGCCTCTGGAAATTTGCATTAGGGCATCTCTCAGCATCAGTTCACACCGATTTGAAAAGATGCTGGTATAAGAAAACTTATTTTCAGGGTTCAGCTATCACAAAGACTGCCAGCTGAGGGGTAGTCTGGGTCATTTATACCCCTTTTAGCCTGAAAAGAAGGATCTGAAAAACTGCAAGCCCTGTAGCCACTCATTATCAATAGCATAATAATAGTTGTCACTATTAATTCTTTTCCTGTGTAACGAGGTGAACTCCTACACCGTCAAGCATTTGTATTTATTTGTCAAAATATGTTTGTGGAAGCTCAAATATATATACATACCTGGAGCTGTGAAACCCTTGAAAATCACGCTTTTCTTTCTTGTTGATCATTGATTCATTGATCTACCAGGTTTTTTCATTTTTCTTTCCTTACTCAAAACTTTCGGGCGCATTTTCAGTCGGAAAATCTGTGCGGAGAGAGTTGCTGTTCAGAGAGAAAGGAGAAAAGCTTTTCATTACATTTCTCTGTGAATTTTTACCTTTGCGTCAAAGTTTAGAGAATAAAAGGAGAGAATCTGCTGGAAGTCTCCTGGTGGCAAGAAAGGGAGAAAAAAGCCCGAGTGCTATTACGTTGAGATCCTGCCATTAAGTCCACCAAACCACAAAAAGATAAGATGGAAAAAAAAAAAAAAAAAAAAAAAAAAAAAAAAAAAAACATTGTAAAAAATATAATTGAATAATTTGCCTCGAGGAGATGTTATTTGACCAAATATCTGTTGGGAAAAAAATAAATTGAACAGAGTAGATCCAGGATATTTTTAGGCTATGAGGATGTCAGGTTTTGATCAGAGTGTGAAGGATTTAAAGGATATAAAGGTTTTTAGAAAGAAAAAGCAACTTCACTAAATTCAGAGGTCTTTTTGCAAAATCCTGGGGAAACAGGCTAGGAAAAAAGACGCTCAGGAATTTGGATGTTCATCAAGATGTAATGAAATACAATGGTAGGGCATCGTTACATGGAACAATGAAAATCAATATAATTTGGCGTGTAGTCTTCAAGGGTCTCCAAGAAGGAAGTACCAAGGAATCGGGTGGAATTGCACTTAACCGTCAGTCACCTTTGACTTCTGTGCTTTTTGGAAGAGCGTAAAGAGGAGAGACAAGGAGGAAGAATTGTCGAAGTTAATAAAAGGGCACCAACGTCCCTCATCGTTTACAATAGTCCCTTACTGACAGAAAGGAGGACCTGGGAAAACCCTGGTCCACGAGCTTCCTGCAGAGATTAATAAATTAGGCCTGTGAAGATACGGTGTTTACTTAAATCATCAGCAGCAATCAAGCAGGTAGCAATACCACGGAGGGGGGGTGAATAAAGTCCAGATTAGAAAAGAGAAAGCGTGACGGAGAGGGCTGACGCAAGGTACCTGTGGTCAGTGGACTGTCCCGTTTGGCGTTAATGCCAAGCTCCTGCTGGAGAGAGGAAAAAAAGGAAAGGAAAGGAAAGGAAAGGAAAAAGAAAAGAAAAGAAAAGAAAAGAAAAGAAAAGAAAAGAAAGAAAAGAAAAGAAAAGAAAAGAAAGAAAGAAAAGAAAAGAAAAGAAAAGAAAGAAAAGAAAGAGAAGAAAAGAAAAGAAGAAAAAGAGAAAGAAAGGAAAAGGAAAAGAAAGGAAAGGAAAGGAAAGGAAAGGAAAGGAAGGAAAGGAAAGGAAAGGAAAGGAAGGAAAGGAAAGGAAAGGAAAGGAAAGGAAAGGAAGGAAAGGAAAGGAAAGGAAGAAGGAAAGAAAAAAAGAAAGAAAAGAAAGAAAGAAAAGAAAAGAAAAGAAAAAGAAAAAAGGGAAAGGAAGGAAAAGAAAAAAAAGAGGAGTGGACTGTCCCGTTTGGCGTTAATGCCAAGCTCCTGCTGGAGAGAGGAAAAAAAAGGAAGGAAAGGAAAGGAAAGGAAAGGAAAGGAAAGGAAAGGAAAGGAAAGGAAAGGAAAGGAAAGGAAAGGAAAGGAAAGGAAAGGAAAGGAAAGGAAAGGAAAGGAAAGGAAAGGAAAGGAAAGGAAAGGAAAAAAGAATAGAAGGAAGAAAAGAAGAAAAAAGAAAAGAAAAAAGAGGAAAAAAAAAAGTTGGAGAAGATCCGGAGGAGAGAGGCTGAAATGATGAAGGAGAGGGAAGTGTGATTTTATTGATTGATTTATTTTTCCCTTACCTAGCAAGCAGCCTCTCTGTTAAGTCAGGGGATGCAAACGGGTTCAGGAAAGACTTGGATTTTCACAGAATGAAGCAGAGGAAGGAAGGCATCTTCCTCTTCGCAGGAAGATTTCGGGGCTGGATGCGCTGCTGCGCGGTCATGTCCATGGCGGGAGGGTAACCCTAACGGGCTGAAATTGCAGCAAGAGTGGCTTAGGGCTTAGCCTTGTGAAAAACTTCTCCGTGATAAGAACATGTAAGCAGCAAAGTGCGTTGCCAAAGGAGTTTGGGAACCTCGACCGTTTTGCTTGTTGCAAAAGCAGGTTGTGTAACCCAGAGCTGTATCTTCACCACGTTAGGTCCTTCCGTGAGGGGACCAGATGACCTCTGATGATTCCCTTCTGCTTTTTTTTTATTATTTTTCCCAGTATTTGGTGGTTCAGCCTCATCTCGTTGCCATGTGTCAGCCCTTTCTGCCGGAGCTCGGAGTTTCTCTATTGCTGCCCATCGCTGCCCAAGGGCGCCGCGCTCGGTGCCGCTGCCGTGCAAAGGCGATGAGTCACTTCCCCGGCCTTAATGCAACAAAAATGAGCACACGTCGCAATTAACAGCCTCTTCTTTCAACGTTTCTCTTGTCTTTTGCAGGTTCATCTATACTAAATGGATAACCAGGCCTTTGAAATGCACGGGGAGAGAATACAAAGCTCTTCGAAAGGAAACGAGTGGCCCAAGAAAGAGGTACCAGCCAGTTTCTTTTAGTCTTCCCAAAATATTATGAATAGATATAGTTAAGATTAAGCCCTTGATTTGTAGTAGTTCACCATATGACCCCATCCTATACCATTAAGAAGGTCCTGAGGAAAACAAAAGCTCCTGAGGGCTTCTGCTGCCAAGGTTTTACAACGTCCTATCTCACGTGCACGTGCCAGGAGCTGGACAGCGAGACACAATTCCTTGAAGTTAAGAGCTAAATTCTTTATCCCATGACAAAATAATTATCTTTGGAGGACTCCCCCTTGATTTTAACCAAAATGGCTACTTAAAAGCCCATTTTGTGGTCGTGTTTAGCATCTCTTCTGAGTTACACGTTTGAGTACTATTTCATTTTTTTTTCTTTATTTTTTTTTCTTGCCCTTGAGAAAATCCACTCTCTGTGATTTTCTCCTTCAAGTTTTTGCTCCTTGGGATTTTGAAGGAACTTCGTGGAAAAGGAGCTGGCGTAGTGCTCCTAGAGCCCTGCAGCCATAAATATGGCAAAACCAGTGATTTCCTCAATATAATAAAATGATCGATTGAATCGGCACCACTGCTGTGAAAATGCTGTAAATTAAAGGTCATTCCAGCCTGGAAAATGAGGATTTTGAACATATTTAGCTCTAACGCCTCGTTCTCTGATGAGACTCTGTGGTCTGTGTATGGCTGTTGTAATATTTAATTGAATGCAAGCTTGAAAAAAGGGGTAATTTAAACTGAGGAAGGGATTATTACTGAGTAAAATACATTGGTATTTCGAGCACTTTTCCACTGCTAAGGGAAATTTATTAGCAAAGAGCTTTTGTCAAAGAGATTCATGAAAGAGGTCATTTTGTTAAAATCCGAGGGCGACCTGCAGATATTTCACTTCTGCTTGTCCAGCTGAAGGGATCAGCTTTCATAGCTCATTTTCAGGCGCTCGGCACCTGAAAATCAATCTTCTAAAGGTAGATCAAGCTGTGCACCTCAAAATCAGCGGAGGTTAAAAATCTGGGTCGGGGAATATGGTTTTGATTCATCTGAATCGGCAGCTTGTAAGAAGAATTGGTAAGGGGCAGGAAAACTGAAAATCCTCATCGAGGAGATGTTTTCTGCTGAATGCCTACAGTAGGCTTCAGGTGCTTGTAAAACCCCGTGCTGATGATGTGTTTTCAGTCAGTGAAACAAGGAAAGGACGGAATGAAGCAGCCCTATAACATGTGCTATGAGGTTTCCCTACAATGGACCCAGAGATTTGGTTATAAGTGTTTTTCTGCAAGATGAATGATTCTGGTATGTTAACAAAGGAATTACCACAAACCTTTTCCCACGTGTTCAATCTAATAGAGCTCCTTGTTTTGTTTCGCTGGGCTTTTTCCTAATGCCAGGAAAGAAAAGGCAACTGGTCGCTGATGAAAATCTTCCTGGTTTGTCTGCTGGCCTGCGTTATCACCACCGCCATCGGAGTGCTGGTCTTGTCTTTGGTCTACACAACCACCACCCACATCGTGAAAGAGGTCAGCGTTACAGACGATGGGGCAACCTCCATGAAACCAGAGGACAAGAACGTGGACGTCAAGTTCCAGTTCCTCAATCATCTGACAAAATCCAAGGTAAACTGTTCAGTGATATTCTAGCATCGTATGTAGAAGTTGAATGGATTCATGTCACCTACTTTTACTTATTTAAGTAATAGGTGACCAGTCTAGAATCTAGAAACAGTAACTTCTTAGTTCTGAAGACTGGATTCAAACAAATTCTTACGAATTCTTAAGAAAAATGAATTTTATGGCCTTGTTTCAGTGAGCTAACACATTAATTTACAATGTCACAAAGCTGCAGGAATTCTCCAGGCTTTTTTTGCAAGTCTATTTTGATTTTTATAGAAATTTCCCCTTTGAGCAAACTCTAAAGACAAGATCCATCTCGTATTGTTATATAAAAATAATTTCTGATTGAAATTTGAATTAATTTAAATTTAAAACTTACATTTAATTTTGCTCAGCAAAGAGTGAAAAGGATAAATTAGGTAGCTGGACACTTTAAACTGATGACGGATATCCTGGTACTCCTACACATTATATTTAACTATGTAATATATTTGCAAACAAAAACGTGTTTAGGAATGCAAACAAAAGGACAAACAATGTGTTTTAAGAGCAGAGCAACCCTTTTGATATGCCCTTCCCCTCTGCAAGATCCCCAGCTGATAAAACTATCCACTTTGACTCACTTTCCAGGTGTATAATTTCCCCGGGGGTGAAATTCAGTGGGCACGATTCAGGAATGATGTAAACGAGTATGAAAACGATGAAGAAATGGAATTTGGGAAAAGTATCAACAACCACCGCTCTTCCATGACTTTTGGCACCTTGAGGATCAAAGGCAAAGGGCTCCGGGTCCCCCACTGGCACTTCAATGCCAACGAACACGGTTACCTGCAGCAGGTATTCCTGCTTGTTTCTAAATCTTTGAAATCTTCAAAAGGTTTGCTCTACGTCACCTTAGTGTCAAATTTCATATCTGTAAAAATAGATAAAGAAAAAAAAAAATAAATAGAAACTCACCGTGAGGAAAAATTCAAGATACAAAATTTATTTGAACACAAAATCATATTTCCTTGGAAGTATATGTATTTATATATATATATATAAATTATTCGTTGTATTTCTAAGAATGATTACTCTTAGTTAATGCTAATAGCACGTAACTGGGATTTAAGATCTCCAGCCCAACCCATTCTGTGATCCCATGATTTAATTTCACTAAACCTTGCAGGAGGGTGCATCAGGACCCGTTTTCTCCTAAGAGCCTACCTGAATTTGGGATGATATAGATGAAACGAGCAAGTTTTCATTGCTGTTGTTAAATTCCGATCGTGTTACAGGGCACTGCCTGGATTGGAGTCATTGGGGCAGACGGCAGCGGGGTCACCACGTACAACGTCACGGCTGGCCAGGTGATCTTCTTCCCCAGAAACACCGTGCACTGGATAAAGAACGTAGGCACGGAGGACTGCGTGTTCTTGCTGTTTTTCACGACACACGAAGAGCTTCAGACCTTGGATGTAGACGATGCATTCTTCTCTACCCCAGAGGATATAGCAGCAAGAGCATTAAAGGTATGCTAGGATAACCAGCCTCTGCCTAATCTTCTTGACATTACCATGGCGGTCATTTTTGGGGGAGAATTCCCCTTATCTCAGCTCATCTCCTCAATTCCCCCAGTGTGGAGGGACGTACACTTACCCTACACATGTACTGAAGCCCAAAGCTCATTTCCCAACAGCCCCTTGATGAATCTTGTGGTAAAATAATGTCTCGAGAAACTATAGATAAATCCACCTCCTTGTTAAAACGGAGCTAATCTGAGCTAACCAGTTGGCAGTGTTCCTTCATCAAGGCTCAGAAATTCTGCTGAGTCTGAGGAACCTGCACAAAACTGTGATAAATCTCCCCACCCTGAAAGAATTTGATGGGAGAGGGACTGAATTACTGCTCCAAATCTCTGTGGCACCTGAGTAGGAAGGGCAGAGCACAAGGGCAAAGCAAATCCTTGGCAGGACGAGGTAGATAAGGAGATGAAGAAATGTCTGAAGAAATACAATCTGAATCCCTCAGTTTACTTTTGCGCATCTGTCAACTTGCTCCACGTTTTGTGTCCCGCAGCCACAAGGTGGGGTCAACTTCATCAGGACCTTCAAGAAACAAATGGAAGATCAAGCGGTCAACCTCCCTCCAAACCTGGACGAGCTCGTAAAAAGTGCCGACTACGTGCAGTCCCCGGACCACCAGGTGTGGCAGTACTTCTACGACCTCAAAGGTACGCATCCAAGGACCCGGGATGGAAGAGCTCTCGGTGCTTGTCGAGGGGGATCTGGAAACCTTTCCCTGAAACGTGACTTCAAAGTAGAGAGAGGAATGAGAATTTAAGGGGACTGGAAGAGCAGGGAGTTATAATGATTTGTTAAGCATCCCTCTGGGCAGCCTGGGTGTGGTGATTACCAGGGAGCACCTAACGAACACAGATGGCAAAACTTAGTGCCAACTATCATGGTCTGTTCAAGAAGGCCTAAAAAAATACACTCGAAGCTATGTGTGTTGTTACTAACAGAAATCTGGGGTGGAAAAGTGAGGTTTCCGTTGTGGTGATCTCAAACATCCAACAAAGTTGGGTATTTGATACTCAAACATCCAACAAAGGAGACGGCATAGCACCTAGTGGATAAGCCAAATGGGCTTTCTTTTTTGTTCTGGAGGCTCACAAGATTCAAGGCTTCAAGTTTAGCGTGTAGTAATTCCCCGAAGTTCATTAACAACGTTCACAAAACCTTGCTGTAAGTGCTCATTTAGCTACGTCTTTGCTTGAAGGGTCCAGAGAATATCCTTTCCCGGGAGGCATCTTCCAGTGGGCTCGCTACCGCAGAAATACCACCGGGCTGAATGAAACCGAGAAAATCTTCAGTGAGTCACTGAACAAGGTAAGTGCTTGCAGTTGAATAGCTACCTAAAAATAAGGCATTGAATAAGGTATTTATAAATAGGGCGTTTAGCTCCCTAAAAATAAGGCATCGAAGGCATTTTGTGTAGGTTCGTCACCGCGATGTGATGTACAACAGGGACGTAACAAACTCTGAACATTTTTGTTCTGCTTTTCAGCATGAAAATACCCTTACCTTGGCAACCCTCAGGATATTCAATAATCAGCTGGGACAGCCTCATTTCCACTTCAATGCTAATGAGATGGGTTATGTCATTAGCGGCTGCGGACAGGTAATGCCTTCCCTCAGTAAGGGGCAAGCCAGTGGAGTTCTGGCTGGATAATAATTACAGATCTATTAACGGATCCCCATCCCTGATTATTAATCATGCTCTAATTAGTATTATTACAAAACTTTCGCTGTCCACACATTCCTTCATTCCTTTTCAATAGAAATTTTGATCTCAGTTGCGTTTGTGGAAGCCTGTCTGGTCAAAGCGGGCTTGTACAAAGAGCAGAATTTGTCCTTCTTGCTCAGTTGTTCAGAGAAATCACACGTGCTCTTGAAAAGAATTCAGACTGAATAGTGGGAGAAGAAGGTAACAGTAAAATAAAACAAAACAGTGCTTTGAGTTAGATCCTGCTGCTTTCCTTGCAACAGGCTGGAGTTATCACCTCCTCTGGAGCCACCAGCAGCTTCAACATTGGCATCGGAGATGTTATATTCTTCCCCGTTGGGACCCAGCATTACCTTAAAAGCATCTGTGATGAAGACTTGCTTCTGATTCTAGCCTACAGCACAGGCGACCAGGTGAGAAAACTTCACAGGAGGAGGCAGAAAAGCCCAACTGTACATAATCTTATGCTTTAAGCAGCTCTGCATCTGAGGAGCCAGAGCAAGGCTGTATTTTTCTAACCTATGCACCCAGTGATATCAATTTCTCCGTGTAAGGCTTATTGTTAGCTGTATACCTTTATAGTCATTCATTTTCACTTCCATTTGAGATGCACTTCAATATTTCGTATCATTAATGCTGTAAAAATAGCCAGGAAGCTATGATTATTCTCTCTAAAATACCGCGTCTTTTCCTTACAGCTGGAAACTCTTCGCATGAACGACTACTTCCACGCCACAGCAGACCACATCCTTGCTCAGATTTTCTTCAAGGAACAGGACGAGTTCAAGAAGTTCCCAAGGTCTAAAAAATAGACTGCCAATGAGTGGTCTCAGCAGTTCATGGCTCCACGGAGATTTTGTACAAGTGCTGTGTTTCTGGCAGCGCCTTCTGATGCCTTTCTCGCTGTTTATCCAGAAGAGATGTTCAGAAAATGGAATTTATGGTTACTACTTTTATTTTTTTTTTCCTGTTTGTATTTTTTTATCACGTATTATTTATAGTGCAATGTATTTTGAGTGTGTATTAAATTAACTTCTACCTCTGCAATTGCCTTTGGTTGTGTATATTACCCATTATCCCGCTTTATCTCTTTCCTCACATTACTGAAGTTTACATTGATTTTCTGTCACGTCGACAGCACTTTATCCACCAGCATCTGCACAAACACAGCACATTCACCCAACTCTGCCTGCCCTGACACCAGGCATTGCTGTAAGCCCTGCCTCGAGGAGTGGCTGCAGGAACGAGCTCATCGTGCGTTCGCCTCAAATTCACTCTCGCTGCAGCCCCCTCAGCTGAGCTCTGTGTTAGCATTTACGACAACTATTTTATCTTCCCCACTTGGCCACCAATCTGCTTTCTGAGGCTTGATTCTTGGGATATTTGAGGACAGGTTCTTAGCAGAAGCACGGACTCAGTAGCAGCCAAGCTCCGTGCTAGACACCCATGCGTCCAGCACAAAGGCTGGGGATAGTCGAGCCCCACAAAAAGCAGGCCAAAAAGGAGCAAAGGGTGATTTTTTTCACATTGACAGCTATGTCATTGTGTTGTAACCCTCAGGATCACTCTCCATCTGTAAATATTTAGGTAGTTATAGCCAACGGGATGGCTGCAGGAGGGAGACAGAGCTTTCTCCATGTCCTGGGGCTTAGGGTGTGGGTTTTTTTTTTAAGGGAAATGGTCCCTGTCTCAGGAAATACTTGCTTAGTTCTTGGGGCTTAAATCAAATCAGGGTTAAGGTGGTTTACTAAGTTATTATTTCAGACATTGCCACCCTTTCCCCAAGGGTTTCCCTCAAACACTCTGAGTTATCTTGCACCCAAGGAGATGAGGGTCTGGCTTAGTATTAGAGCATTAATTGTTTTCAGGTGTTAGGAGAGCAACAGGCTCTGCTCATAACAAAAATGTCACTCAGGTGCCACCAATCAACCTGCCCAGGGCTCTGGTTTAAAGCAATTCAGCTGAAAGGAAGAAGGTTTAGATGCTGGATGCTTCTTTCTTTGTTGAGTTGCTCCTCAGGATGTTCTTTGTGTCCTCAGCAGGTAGGGGAGATGCTCTGCTTGGCAGATGGGGAAGTGTAACTGGATAAGGAACGGGGATGTGGCTCTTGTCCTGCTGTTGTTGTCTTCCTTTGCTGTGCTGATAACAATGGGCTGAAAGCTGAGGTCTCTTATCATGATTGCTGTGGTGTCTTCTGCCCACGCAAGCCCTGCAGTCCCAACGTGTGGAGTTCGGATGCTGCTTACAGGCACCCACTAATTATTTCAGTGCCTGGTTTCTGTCTGTCTCTTCAGCTACATGCTCCTTGGGCTGGCTTTGGCCTGTTGTTGGAGTGGTTTGGCTTGCCTGTTGGTGTTATTCCACGTTGTGTTTAAGCTGCTCCTTAAAATACTCTTTGGATGGGAACCTCCTACTCCATCTCACTTTCGTGCCAGTCTGCTCGAAACGCCACGCTCAGCAGTGCAGTGAGTGCTCTCTGGAGAATCTCTTGGAAGGGCCACGAAGGAAAATGCATGGTGGTTGTTTATCATGCCGTAATGAAACGATCAGTGCTTTGCATGTCCAAATCCATCAGGTTAACAGCCTGTGAAATGCGTTTTCGGGTGGTGATTACTGCCCAGTCAGCTGCTGTCGCAGTGCCCTTGTGCTTTGTAGGCAGGCTAGCATTGAGGAATGCCACAGTTTTGTTTGTTTTACTAAATAATTAGCGTGTTTTCAGCCTTATTTTCAATTCTGATTAAGTTTTGGTCTGCTAATTGTAGACCAGTCCTCCAGCACGATGAAGTGGATTTCTCTGTAAGCGTGTATGCGGGTGGGCTAACTTCACCAGTTGTCTTACTGATGGACTGGTTTTAATTATTTATTAATTTTTACAAATACTCATAATTCAACTGCTGTCTCCATAGTTTCTTTTGATCAGTCTTTGGTTGCCATTAAACCATTTTCAGCTGGCTATGGTGGAGTCAATGCGATGTTAAATTACGCTTCTTGTCTTTCCTATTGGAGTCAGAATCCAAAGAAATGGTCAAAGCAGAAGTGTCAGATCCCCGTTTTGTGTTAATCTGCCTAAACCAGGAACATTGTGGAGTGTTGGCCAGCTCCATAATTCTTGTTATCGTTCCAGGCCGTTAATATCACAGCTCTGCAGATAATGCTTAGATAAAGTGATGTATTCAGTGGGTGATGGGATATCCTCTCCTCTTCTGCTTTCTCTTTGACTAGCAAATTATCTAGATTCCCCCCAAATACTACAGGCCTGAGATGATTTAACCAAAATGTCATGAGGTCTGGTTCCTAAATATAAGACTTGCCTCAAAACTCTCCATCTCTTCCAAATCTTTATCCTATTTACCCAGAGGACAATAGGCTAGATGTTGTTCAAAAATATTTCCAAGTCCTGTCAGTGAGAGGTTCTTGAATTGATGTGGTAGAGCTGGGCTTGAAATGCAGCTAACCACCTGTGATGAGCTTTGTCGGAAGAAATATGAATTATGGCAAATATTTCTTGTCTAGAAATTAGCTAGGGACATGAAATAGAATAGGTTTTGTCCTGTTGGGGTGGTTATAATCAGAAGCACTAACACAATGGGTGTGACACTTGAGTGGTTGGCGGCGTGTGAGTGAAATTCATGCGGAGTAAGTCATCCTGTGGCTCACTTCAGACAAATCATCATGTGGTAACCTGGTGTCAGCGCTATGAAATCCTAAGGGCAGGGTCCAGGGAAGCCCTTTTGTGCAGAGAAGAGGTGCTGTGGTTTGGACATGACAGGGAGAGCCTCGCACTGGGGACAACTGATGTGATATATGGAGGCATGGGCAGCCCTGAGGATGCTCTCAAGAGCTGGAGACCAGGGCAGGGTTGGGACAGCAGGACTGCATTGTCCAGCTATTTCTGCCCTTGATACGAAAGCTTAAAATCTGCCAGGAGGTGACAACACCGATTCCCTGACTCAGGGCCTTGTGGCACTGGGCTCCCAGCAGAAGCCTGATTCACATCCTTATTTCAGGGCTGTCTGCTCTGCCCCGTGCACAAAACACAGTCCAGGGCAGCTGGGTTCCCTTCCAGTTTCCCCAAACGCAACCCCCCTTCCTCAATCTGCTTTCTTTTTGAGGTTTTCTGACTGGCTTCAGACCTCCCCGGTGGAGGGTGCGGTGCTGCCGGAGGTGACAGCAGTCCCTGGCATGGCTGGGACATCCGCTGAGCCAGCATGGGGATGGGGGTCTGGAGGATTTGGCATCCGGGCTACCCCTTTTGGGGAAATCCCCTCTCCTTCTATCTTCCTCCTGAGCCGTCCTGCTGGGGCTGGCTGGGTTTTACAGCCATGGGTGCAATGGTGTTTCTGCAGCCCATGGTCAAACACAAACACATCCAAATGTCTGCAACGTTTCTGTTGAGATCCCACCAGCTAAAATGCCTTGGCAGCCTGGTGGGATCTCAAGAGGCCTCGATACGTGATGGTTTAATAACTTTCTGCACCCTCCTCGTGGTGTTTCTTTTAAGGATGTGTGTAAAACATCTGGATTTGGTGTCAATGTTTTCTTCTCGGCTGAAATCCTGACAGAGGGCCATCATAAAGCCCACACTGAGCTTGTTCTAGGTGAGGTCATCTTTGGTGTCACCCACTGCATGACCCTGGGGTGCTGGCAGGGGGTGTGCTGCTGCGGCGGCCCCAAACCTTTTCCCCTTCCCCTTCTGGCACTTCCACCCCTCCAGGAAGGGTGAGTCAAGGGCAGGAGCCCCGGGGGTGGCAACAGCACCCAAATACGAGGAAAAACCTGCCTGTGGATACCCATGTGAGCGTACATCACAGAAATGCCGCTACTAAGGAGGGATGTTGAAATTAGCCCATCTCTGTGGTAGGCAAGTTGAAAGTTCAGGGGGTTTATCACTCTAGATCAAAGGAAATGGTGAAATAGTAAATTTCTCCACAGAAATACATTGTTGCCTGTATTTTGGGAAAAAGAGCTTGCTGCAGGGACAACCCAATTATCTGCTTGCTAGAAAAGATCTTACAATAATTTACTTTTTACTAACACATCAGTTTCTAGGGCAAAATCTTTCTTTGGAGTTGTTTTTTTCCTTTTATTATAAATGCACTGAAATATTTTTGACTGTATATAGTAAATCCAATTGGCTCATTCTCCTGGACACCATCAGTATTTACACTTTTTTTGTTTGTATTTAGTTCCAACACAAGTGTATAATTCCTACTTTTGAGCAGAAAGTCAGTGGGATTGGGACAAACAGACTGGAGAACTTATGGCTTTTCTGGTATACCTTAACCCCCGATTAAACACAGTGAATGAGTTTCCACAGGATTTAATTTAATGGCAAGGTAAAATTTAGATTACAGTGTGCTACTTGGTAATAAAAATTCATGAGACAATACCTTTTGCAGAGAGGGTACGATGAGATCGGAATGATTTCCCTGGTGCTGTGGGGATGTAATAATGCAAAATCCTCTTCAGTCTTAGTCCCACGAGTTTGGCCTTTCCTTGCTGATGAATTGAATTCAGAGATTGGTCTTAAAAATATATATATATATATTCAATATTTAATGCCTTTAGGTTTGATGTTTATTTGCTGAAGTTATTGTTTTTGTACTCCGGGCTCTGCCCAAACCTCTGGGAGAGGTGGCATGGGGGAGGATTTCAAAGAGGGGATTCTTGTTTTGAGGATAATGGCTTAGTTTTGTGAATGATGAGAGAATTACAGAGCAGGGGAGGACACTGGGGACTCTGCTTTCTCTGTGAGGGGTGCATATTTTTTGCCCAAACCAGCTTTGTCATGCCCCTGTGCAGAGCCCTGCACTCCAGCATTATTCGGGGCTGTGAGCTCTGTGCAGCCTCAGGGAGCATTTGGGTGGGTGCTGCTTTGGCCACATCCAGCACACAGCCTGGGCAGCTCGCTCCCTGTTCAGTGTGGTGAACGAGGTCCCTTCTGAGGATCAAACTGCTTTACAAAGCCCATTTTTCTATTAATTTGTCCGTCGGTCCCAAGTGCTGCGAGTTATCCTCAGCTGCTCTCCATTCTCCTCCTCAGCTGA